GGGGGGGGGGGGGGGGGGGTTGGTTTTTGCCAGAAGAGTGCACCAAAAGGCTACTGGAAAAATGGAAGTATAGATTCCATGGACTCATGCAGCCAACATATACTCTGATAGTCAAAGTTAGGGGAGCTTTGTTCTTACACGGCACATCCAAAGTCCAAAAGCTGGTAATTGTTTCACGTTTGCTTCTTTGCCAAACTCACGAATGGTTTTGACATGATTGTTACTTTTATAGATCATGAACAGTTCGTTCCACTCTCCAACCGATGTGAGATCTCACAATCCACCCCCTTTGAGTGTCAGTGTCTTCGGTGACACACCGCCCGATATTTGACTCTGATACCATTCATAACCGCCCAAGCCTACCATCAGCAGATATTGTCTACTTTGGTCTATTGCGTATCGCAGCCAGCCTTATGATTTTAAAACTCGTCTACTAAGGAGAGATTTCTACGCTCATATAAGGAATGTTTTATTCTCTATCCAACTGATGTGAGATTTTGAACTCAAAATTTCAATACTTTCGCGAGATATTTGAAAAAGGTACGCACATTTATGATAGCTATTCATGCTTATTGAAAAACTTATTTTTTTTTTCCTCTCCGACATACATCAACAACCATGGACTGCTTGCTTGCCTGAAGCAGGAATTTTGTTTAGTCCCCGTTTTTGACCAAACTTTCATATCTCTTCACATTAAATTATAAGATATGAAAGAGATGAGAGTTGCCCACATTCAATGATACACTGTTTAATGGAAAATGAATGCATTGTTTGTCATTATTTTAAGTTAGATATGGTTTAGTTGGTGACAATGGATCCCATTTTTTGCTCTTTTGACTGCTTACGGTACTGTGGCTCTGGTTGCTCCCCCACCATCAAACATTCTTCAACTGTACCTAAATCCCAAATAAAATAAAATTAAGATATATATATATATATATATATATATATATATATATATATATATATATATATATATATATTTTATGTCAGATAAGTTATTCTTGTATTGATCAATATATAGATTACGTAAGTGTAAAATTTTTACTTCTAACTTTATAAAATCATACTTTTAAAATTATGAGTAAGATAGTTCGGGATGAGAATCATATAAACAGGAGGTCATTAAGGATCGTAAAAATAATAAAATGTTTAAAGAGAATGACTTTATTCTCCTGACAACCAAATCTAATCGAACCAAATGATTGTTCTGTAAAATTAGTTCAATGCATCCAAGCTAGACTAAACATTTATCGATCTCAAAGTGAAAACCATAAGAACATGAAGATTTATGAAGATGCCCTCTGGTTGAGATTAAAAAAACCATTTAAACAAGATCTTGTGAGGAATATCTGCTTTGTAGTTTAATGCAAAAACAATTAAAGCTAAAAATTGATATATAATTACACGTTAATTTTGAAATAGTTAAGTGAATAAATTATTTTAAAATTACTCTCATAAATTTATAATAAATCAAATATATACTTTATTTAATTAATTGTTTAATGACCATCAATTAATATTAATTAATTAATGTATACTTTTTCCTGGTTTCATTTGTTTACCAATCAATTTGGAGAATTACCCAATATATGCAAGTGGTGATTTTTACCTTTTAGATATATATGGTCCTCATCATTGTTGACTAAAATGGTGCTGGGTGGCCTAATTATCTTATTTTATATACATATATAGATGATTTCATACATGACATAAAAATTTCTTAGGTGATTTAAATTAAGTATTTAGATTTTATTATGTATTTTATATAAAGTTCTCAGAATAAATAAATTATAATGTCTCGGGTTTATGATTCAAACTAGGATTTGTAATATAAATTTAACACCTAACGGTCTCCACATTTTTCAGACTATGGCAAGATTCAGATCTAGTTGTCCTCAAATACTTCCTAATAGAAATTCGCCAAACAAAAAACTGTGTATCTTATTGATATAAGTAATAACTATAAATTTTTCGAGCATTTTCCATCCATAATTTTATATTCTAAAAACTACTTTTAGGTATCGATTATTCATATATTCTTTTTTTACCCGAACTTCACATAAATAAAGTTGGTATTCGAACACTTTGAAAAGAATCACGTTGTCTAACTATAGTAGACTCTAGTATACTCTAGAAGAGCATTTATACTTTTAACTATAATTTAATTAATTGATGAAAGATTAGCATTGAATACTTTGGTGTAAAAAAGATGAGGCATATTATCATATTTTTTAGAATAAAATTAGTGGAAAGATACATGATAATTACTTTTAGATTATGATTATTTAAAATAGGCAGTGCTGTTGGTGGATAAAAATAAATAAATAAATAGGTTTAATTGGTTTCATTTCAAGTGTGAAGATAGAATTAAGTTATATATATATATATATACACACAATAAATAAATACAAGAGTGTATTTTGAGTTATTTTGTATTTAAAAACTTTTTATGAGAACCTTTTATTTTAGGGATTTGTATTTCATGGTGGGGCTGAAGATTTAAAAGAATTACCTTAGTGTACAAATCTAGTTGGTTGAATGAGTATATCTTTATCTTCTTCTTTTTTTTATTAACTTTTAACCGAGAATGGTTCTAATTCTTTTTTGGACTATTTCTTTTCTCTCTATTTTGATAATTTTTCATTTGATTATACTTATTTGCATATCGATCTCTAATATTTGATTCTTCTTTTCCATTTGGTCCGTATTCTTTCTAAATTATCGAAAACGAAGCATTTTTATAAGTGTGGAAATCTCTTCACTACTAGACGAATAATTGGAATGGAATCGACATAAAAGATAACGATATAGGTAAGAGGTGTTAGTATTATGGATACATATTTTTGGAAAGAGTAATAACAACAGATTTAATTAGGGAGAGAATTGTACAATACAACATTGGAAAAGAGTGTGTATGTGTGCGCTTATGAATGACAAGATGAAAGCTGTGTAGGCTCATTCGCATAATCTTATCATCCAATGCCCAATTTGGTGACTCCCACCTTCTCAGCCTTTGTTCCCAGCTTGTCTAGCTAGCTAAAAAATAGAAACAGGTATATGCATGTGAGAGAAACATAAGAGAGAGATTTTAAAGAATTGATAAGATAAATGTTAAATTATATACGTTACCCCTCAACTTTGAACTATGTTTTATTTTTACCTTTGAACTTTGAAATTCGTTCGTAGAAGAATACCCTTGGAGAGTGATTCATAAAAGTAAGATAGAAATTGATGCAACCGTTAACTTGTAAAAATTGAAAAATGAAAGTTCATATGATATCCCTTACTCACTAAAAGTATTTTTGGAACAATTTCAAAGTTCAAAGGTACTTTTTGGAACAAATTTCAAAGTTCGAGAGAAATAATAAAACTTCTAAAAATCAAAGAATAATTGACCAATCCTAAAGTTCATAGGTATTTTGCACAGAAAAAGATTATAAAAAGAACCTGGAAATAGGTATCAAGCTTCTTCTTCAGAATTTCATGCTCTTGTTTTACTTCCTGGAAACTTCTTATGCATCTATACAACAGAAAAAAGGGTAAAAAAAAAAAAAAAAAAATAGCAAGTTTATGTAGCTTGTTAACCGGGTATGAAGTAAGAACTGATAATATAGATCATTACCCTTCAAGATTTCCTGCCAAGCAGTATTCTCTAAACTGTGAGCATGCTTCTGTCACCCTATTGGCTCCAATGCTAGCAACAAATTGAAGTGAATTAAGACAAGGTTACTAAAGAGATAGAGACACTATTACTATGACAACTGTGTATGTATATATTTATGAATAATCAAGCTTTCTCAGAGAAATGAAATGATACTATATCGCTTTGTCACGAAGGATCCCTGCATGACACATGGAGGATTCAACTTTTCAGAAGAGATAAAACGATGCCATCATTGGACCAATATTTCAGAACAATCAAATGCATACTTATACCGAATGTAACTTATGTGCTTGTTGCAGTGATTATCATCATCATAATGGAATAGTTTCTGGGAAAACATGATTATTCTCCTCCCATTACTATCACCGAAAAGATTTATTACTTGTGGTGCATTCGATTCTAATTCCAAAGTTAGGGTGATTGGTAATGTGCCCTGCCATGTGTCCCCATTGCTATTTTCTACATGATTATCGTAGTTTACCTAGAGCTACTTCCCTTGAACTGGTGCATGTAGTTGTCAAGCTTTTCAAAATCCGTAGGCTTACTGACCCTGTGTAAGCCAATAAAACGGTAGCTCTATTAGATGGTTCTCGTAATCATTTTGATAATGTTAAAGGCTCTCTATACTCACATAGTTTGTTCAATGCTCCGGATGAGTCTGGCCGAATCATTGTAGAATAATGACACAATTTCTTCGGCAAAATTTGGGTTTGTATCATCCTGCAATTCTTCAAGCTGAGTGAACTGATCACGATCAAGATAACCCTGCAACATAGGATTCTGTCTGGTTCAACAATTTATGTCGTAGTAGGTTATTTGTCAATCATTTGAAGTAAATATAACATAAGATTCACAAATTATAAAAAGATAGATGATTCAAGACTGAGGGAATATCCATATGAACGTGAATGCTAAGATTCACAAGAATCGTGACAACTGGCTAGCAATTTGTTAATTTAGTTTGTCTTATTCCTGGTCCGCTGATAATTTATGCTGGTCCGAAACGTAGAAGACAATTGTTGTTATCCAGTACAACTACGAACCAATTGACCATGACCCAGCTGAGATCCTTCACTCCATGTTTAGCCCATCCCACCGTATAAATTATGCAGCGATCCACAAATTAGACCCTGGAGAAATAACTTGAAAAAATAAATACTATTTCATTCTTTAACCAAATATTCGAAGACTTGTGGTTTTACTTTTTACTTCACTCAGATGGAAGATTTACATGGCCAAGCCATAGAACTATTAGGAATAAGTTCAATTACCATGTCTGGTCCGTCCCAAAATAATGAACATGAATATGTTCTTGGACCGATGGCTCAGTTAGGCTCATATCAGAAGAAAAAAACCAGTTCCTATTTGGCTCATGCACCGTAAGGCTAAACCTGCCCTTCCAAATTAGACTTAAAGCTTGGTAGTTATATACTCTGCACTGTACTGGAAACCATGAACCAAAGATTCTCAAACATGCTTACAGCAAAGTACAAGTTAGACTGTTAGAGTGCCAACTGCGCCATGAGAAAGGCACAAGAAAAGTGAAAGAATTTCTTGTATTTTGAAGGTAAACCTGCTCAAAGAAGCACCTCTTCGTGTAGGCAACTTGACGTTGCAAAAGGCTAGAGTCCATCTCTCTCCCAAGAAAATGTAGCAGATTTGATGGAAATAAATGATAGACAAGCTGGGAACTAGGTTCAAGTGTCTTGACTTCCTTGAATGATACAACAATATGCCAAACGAAGATATTTATAGGCTAGCATGTGGAAGAAGTATAAGATAGGACGCAAAGAAGTTATCATCACTAAGTTGGGACGCAAAAGAATTTATCATCACTAAGTTGGGTTGCAAAAGAATTTATCATTATCATCACTAAGTTCTCTTGTTTTGCCATTGCAATTTGAATGCCATATGCTATAATTTATGTGCTCATTCTCTTTAAGCCACAAAGAAACCAAAAAGTGATGATTCAATCAATTTATTGAAAAGAACATTTATAAGAACAATCCAAACACAATGGATAAAGGAGGGAAAAGAAAGAAAGGGCTGCAACTTACGTGTCAAATGCTAACATGCTTATAAGAAATACGTAACTCAGTGATTGAAGATTCTAAATGATAAGTACTAGGAAGCAAGTTCTTTTAGGGATAATGTTACACAAACTGCAGCAGATTTTTTTCGGGAGAAACTCCTAGAAATCCAATATTAAAAGGAACGCTCTGAACATCAATAATTCACCAAAAACAGAAAGATTCCAAATGAGGAATCGCCTCTTTTTTCATATAAAATCTCCAAGAGTTTGCATGTGAAAGAAAGGGAGGGAGTCATAGTCATCCTGTTAATCTGTTAATTATTTGTGACAACACTGAACAAGCAAACGGTCCAAATACTGTGTCCGAATAGGAGTCGAGGAATCTTATCATGATCAGAAATCACTTGGTTCGTGAAAATGGAAAAGCAATCTAATGCACCAAAATTTATGCCTACAATTTTTGGTGGCTAGGATATAAGAGACTTTCTTCTCTCACTCGTTCATAAGCACCTTTCTGGGACTAATAGATGCGCTTCTTTGTGAATGATAGGAAACCAATCTTGCAATGGAAATTGATAGAAAATAACATTAAAATTGTATTCTGATAATAAGAAAGACTAATATCGAACTCCAAGCACTTCGAGAGGCCTGAACTCTCCCCAGGAATGAAGGGATCCAATTTGGAAACACCCCATCCATTAAACACAAAGCATGATTTACAATCTGGCTAAGAAATTGAAAAAAAAAAAAAAAATGCTCCTATATAAATAGTCAATTCGTCAAATATGTACAACAAACGCCCTTCTCTGAAAGACTGATTGTTCCAATAATTCATAGATTCTTGATAATTCGGTTAACACAACTTGCAGGCAAAAACAACAGAAGATAATGAATGAAGGAGCTACAAGGAGGAAAAAGTGATTGAAATAGAATGTTACCCTGAGGCCAGCAGATCATGGTCCCCTACATGCCTCTCGCTGTCGATTGTTGCTGCGGGATTGACATCTTCTGGTGTCTGCAGTGAATTTTGAAAATGTGTGGTCACACACCCTGCTTGGCAAAAGAAGTGGGTGCACCGAATGAGATTGAGAATATGAATTTATGCATTTCCCCCCTTCTTTCTTAACAGAAGGGATCGATATTCTGCATTATCTATCTCCCAAAATTGATAAGATCCCAGCAAGGATATGATAAACCCAACACGTATTATAGCATTTGTTTATAAATAAATGCATGTTGTGACAGGACTACAATAAAAAGAAAAATAGGGAGAAGATTTTATCTGGGACCTCAATAATATCTAAGCAAAAAGGGTGCCACCTTTTTAGTTTTCCATCACCCCACGAAAAATACATGTACCCACCTCACAAATATCCCCTACCCAATCACATATATTGTTCACGTTTGTGCTGTAGCTGCAAAATGATGGAAGGAAGAAAAATATTTCATAGGCCAATGGTTTTAACCATAAAGCTTTTGCAGCTGTGCCCCTCATGTCACGTAATATGGGCTCACATACCACAGCCCACCCTAAGCATATTAATTAAAAATTATTTTCAATGGCGCCTAACATCCAATTATGTGCCAAAGAAAATTTTGTTCGCGTGTAAATGCTGAAAAAGAGATAAGCTCTGATCTGAAAAAATATAATAAACCAAAATCATTAGGTAAGGAATATAAAATCCCATGCTTAGAACAGAAAGCATAAATCCTGTACCATTGAAGGAGAGATGGAGGCATTATAAAATAACCTGTGAGGACTCTCTAAGGAATGTTTTCTTTCTCAATCAACTATATTCTCACTGGTAGAGTCCAAAACTTGTGGGGAACGATAAAACATCCAAAAGTAAACTTTAGTTTTACTATTATATTGATCGTTCCTTATTATTCCTTCAGAATTTATTCTGCTCATCCCACTAGAATCTAGCAGCATCATGGAAATTATTGGTAGCATCCACAACTTTTTGCAACTTCTGGATCACCTTCGAACTTTATCAACTACGTAAGCTGAATCAAACATAATTTATTTTGTAAGAAACCAAAATAGCGGCAATGGTAACAGAAATGTCACCACTTGCTACAAAGCACAAGTTGCATGATGCAAATCGATAAATAATAAGAGGGAGATAATCATGTTAGAACTATTATCAGCATCGTGATTACAGTGTTTTATGTATGTATAGCATTATTATAATGGCTAGGTGTTTGGATTGGCTTATATGCAACACGACTGATTTCATAAGTGCAATTTGATTCTACAACATTTAGAGGCAAAAACTCACCACATAAGCTGATATGCATAGATCAGAAGGTGACAATCAAGACTTTTTTTTTTTTTTTTTGGGGATAAGAAACTAAGATAAGGATATTATACACAAAAGAAAGAGAAGATAGCCAAAGGGCAAGGGGTAGAGGGAACTCCTCCCAACAAAAGACTAACCCAAAAAGGCCTTCCAATTTCTAATAGTCATGATAAGGGTATAATTATACTAAAACTCTTTGTGACCTGAGTTCCACCACGAGGCTGTGTTATATACTATAAATAAAAGAATCCTCTGAACTTAACTTATCCTCAGACATTCTAAGGTTCCTCTCTTTCCAAGTCACCCGTAGGGTAGCTTCCACTGTATAGCACCATTAAATTCTTGCCTTTCCACTAAATCTCATCTCCATCAGAGTTTCCAGTAATCAATCTTCAACCTTCTTAGGGAGAAAGATTGAAAACCCAAATTCCTTCAAAATAAAAGATCGACTCTTAGCCACGAAAGGACAGTGTAACAGCAGGTGATCAAAAGAATCTTCTTTCTACATAAGCAGCACATGGAAGGAAAAAGAGTCCATGTAGTTCAATGTCTTTGTAGAGTACTTCAAAAGATACTCTTTACTCAAAACGGATGTTAAAATTTTATAATTGATCCAACTAGCTTCAACAAATTTATATGATTTTTTTAATTTTTCAGATTTCCTTAGAATACCCCATGACGTCAACATTTTATCAATGATTTTGTACCATCAACCTATAACTCCTTAAGACCAGCTTTTGATGGCTGCATCATCAGAGCTGTATTTACTCACGAGACTAATTAAACATGCATATACATATCGTAGGAACAGTGGAAGATTTATGTTATTAAACTTGTTTGCTCAGAGCCTTTTGGAAATAATTAGAAACAAATAGTCAAGTCTAACCTAAAATTAGATCATTTGCATTTCTATCAGTATGCTGCTCGACCAACTGCATAACTTGGGCAATGAAAACTATTTGAAAGCCTTGGAGCTCTTAATGTCATAAGTGGCAGGACAGGGGAGGGGGAGCAACACTTTTGGACGTGGTTGTCTTCACTTCAGCTGACTATTAAAAGAATGCCGTTAAGATAGTTCTTTTTCATTTGATTCATAAATTATATAAATCAATCTTAAAAAATACCATAGTAATTAGGTGATGAACAAAATATTTACTGAATAGAAGATGGATGGCACCAAACTTATACAGACACAGTAATTTCAGGCTCTAAATCTTCTCTACTTTTTTGCTTTTTTTCAACAGTTAGTCTTGGCCTCCAAGAGGCTGGCCGTTCCTATTTGAGGTCCAAACAAATCGACATCAACCAACTGATGTTTCCTAAAGCTTTTTAACATAAAATGCCGCCAACATTTTTCGATTTCCATGTAGATAACATCACCAACATTGCCGAACTCCCATAATAAATTTTAGTTAAAGTAAGAATTCATATCATTACCAACATTAAATCCTGTAAATTAAGCAAACACGCAACTTCAAATCTAAAGTAACAAATCAAGTTCTAAGTCAATAAGCAGTCTGGTAGAAGGGGAAATTACTTGGCGCAGCAGCTTAAGCTGGCATAGCACTGCGACAGGATGGAAACCGCCTCTAACAGTGTCGATTGAAAGTCGAGATTGACTATCAAACGCATTCTCTTCGAATTCCTCCTGAGAAATCCACAAGATTTTACCGGCATGAAACCAAAACATACAAGCCAATCTGATATGAAGTTTGGTAAACATTGAACGGAAATTCAGAAACGCATACCTCTTAGCAAATAGACGAACTCCATGAGGCCATAGTTGAAGTTCTGACAGAGCAATCGGAATCCGCCACTCTGCTTTCCTTTTACGGTGATTCTGATCAAGAATAATGTACGGAAAATAAATAGTAAATGTTCGAATTAAAAAAATAATAAAAATTGTAATAATTTATTCCCAACAAATTTAATTCATATTTAATAGATATTATTGAATTTTAGATTCTATATATTAATTACATATCAAAAAAAAGGTTCGAGTGCCCCGAGCTTAATCCAAGTTCGACCCAAATTTTAAATTCAGTTGACCCATTTGAGTATGAATAATTACTTTGAAGATCAAGCTACCTACGAGTCGACCTATTTGGACCACGTTTTGATGGGTCGTGTCGTGTCAGTCCAATAAACATTGAGGTAAATCAAATATTAATGTGTTGATAAAAAAATATTAAAATATTAAAATATTATTTTTTTAATATTTTTATAATTATAAACATTTTGAAATTAATATAAACAATTGAATGGTTAAAAATAATAAAAACTTTAATTAAATACAAAGAGGAAAAATTATAATATCAATTTCAAAAATAGAAATTTAATCAATAAAACATAAAAACTATAAATGTTAAAAAATTTAATTAAATAATAATATTCAATTGAGAAATTAAATAATCATTGATCTATAAATTATAAAAAAGAAGATTAAATATATTTTAAATTGAGAAATTAAATAATCATAAATCTAAATTTTATAATTCAAAAAATAATAGAACAAAAAGAAAAAGGCATAAATAAAATAACCCCAAATTATATTTCAATAATCACTATGATCATATGGTTAGGGGTGTCAGCCGCATCCCTATTGCTGTTGGCGCCATTTGCTGATGCCGCAAAATTCTGCACATTTTCGTGAGAGAAATTTTGGTGAGATTTGATCCTTCGAATGAACTATATTATGGGGCAGTGAGCTGAGCATGGTTGCGATTTGCTTCTGCTGCTCCGGTAGATCAATGAAATTTTCAGTTTCGCGTTTTTAATAGCCCTAAACTATGGAGGACCAGAGGCTGTTGGACAACGAGAGGCATCAGATCGAGCAGATTCTTCAGCTTGATAATGAGGAGTTGCAAGTTGAAGAAGTGGACTACCTCCCTGAATCCGATGACGATCGCGATGCTATGTAATGTTTATACCTTCCGTCGCTTTTTTATAGTTGCTTGTCGAACATTGGGTTGAAAAAATCTTAATCATTGACTGGATGGTGATTTAACTGCTGAATATGAATTTGATGAATGGTTTCTGTGTTAAAAGATTTGATTGTTTTGGGGATTTAAGTTTCGAGTCAAAATTCTTGCATCGGTGCACAATTTCTTCAATTATCTAATGTCGCAGTGGATTTGGTTTTAGCTTAATTGTTTCGCTTCGGTATTACGTTTAGAGCAGCTGTTAGAGAAGCCACCATTTTTTTAGAAAGTTATATACTTCCTTTCTTTTCATACTCTTAGCGAAGAAACCAGAGAAACTTAGAATAAGCAAGTCAGTATCGATTATTTTCTTTCGTTAAGGAAAGAAGGGATACCTATTTGAGGTCTCCTACAGATGGATTGGCATAATTATTAGATTCCATTCCTCTATTATAGTCGTTTGCTAGATTTAGTCATCCGTATCAGCAAAAGGTAATTTTATTAATGAATAGAATTGCTTTATTTGTGTTCAAGAAAATTTTTTTGATGTCATAAGTTCATACGTTCTTTCGTTTGTCTTCCTTTTCCTCTTGCTGCTGTAGTCGTTCTTAGTGTTATTGATTTATTATTACTGTGAATGGGGCGACATGCTTAAGTTCTCACCACACGCACTGACATCATCCTGTTTTTTTCCGGCTGTATCCAAGCAGTAATGATCATGGTGGTTATGAGGCCTTTGCAGAGTTTACTTTCAATTCCTCTTTGGCATCTTTGCATACGTATCTTGGTGGTATGAATTTGTTGTTCATTTTTATTTTCTGATTAATATTTTGAGAATTCGTGTCAATTCCATTTGGGGTACAGTTCTACTAATGTCTCCTGTGGTTACATGTAACAGAGGTTGAGGATGCTCATCACAGAATGGCTTTCTTGGATGGTGGTGCCATCCTGAACATTCCTGTATTTTATCTTGAAGGTATTCGATTGTTTATGCATCCTCATTCTGCTTCAAGCATCAATTGCATTGGTTTGATGCCATAATCTGATTAGGATGGTTACAAACCCTCTTTAATTTTAGAAATCTACAAATCTGATATTTATCTTTTAAAAATGGTTTTAAACAAACGTCCTTGTAGTCTAAAGGATCAAAGTCTGCAAATTATACAATTTTGTTGAAGTCATTCTCGATTTTATTATAAAAAAAGAATAGTATTTTCCCTGAATTAGAAAAAGGCAGCAATTCCATTGGAGTATGGAAGAAAAGCTGCACAATTTCTTGGAACAAACAGGTTTCTTTTGCTTGGAGAGCTATAAAATAGATTCACGCTGTGACTATATATGTTCAAATTTTATAATTCATCATGAGTAGTTCATGTCTGAAGCAGCAAGCTCTCCTCCCCTGTCCATGGGGAGTAAGAAATTAGCATGTTTTTCAATTGTCATCCCCTTGCTTGACGTTTAGATGACCTGTAGGCCTTCTATGCTTATCTCAAGAGTTTAGATATAACTGTTTGCAGAATGAAGAATAGTTCAATTGAGGAGACCTTGATTTTTCCAACTTTGAGTGAACAAGTCAATGTTTCACGATTATGGTCAATTGGCATCTAGAAACCTTATTGAGGATACTTTTTTTCTATCTTGGCTCTTATTTAGTACTTCATGTATAATTCACATATTTCTCAGGAGTTGTGTTGTTCCCAGAAGCTACTCTACCTCTCAGAGTGATACAATCAAATTTTATTGCTGCCATTGAGAGAGTGTTGACTCACTTTGATACTCCTAATACCATAGGTGTGGTATGTGCTCAAATTTAGGCAGTGGATATAGCTTTTAAAGATTCCTTGAAATCCTTTATTGGTAGCTCAAGCAAGATTAAATATTCTATTCAGGTTCATGTCTCTGTAGATTCTGGGAGTGATAGACTACGTTTTGCAACTATTGGGACAACTGCAGAGGTATTATTACTCAATTTTGGTTCACGTTGTCTTTTCCTTTTCTGACATTATTCCAAAATCAATTAGTATATGCTCATGCCATGGTTTGGAGTTGTTTAGCTTCTATCTGAACTTTAAGGTAAAGGCTGCCATACTTCTAATGACATGCATCCATGTACCTACTGACTCTCTCTATTACAGATTCGGCAGTTTCGGAGGTTGGAGGATGGTTCACTTAATGTTCTTGCTAGAGGGAAGCAGCGGTTTCGCCTTAGGCGCCGTTGGATTGATGTTGAAGGAGTGGTTAGAGCAAATTGCTGTTCTTGAATTATTTGTATTATTTTACTTCTTTTTCTTAATAAGATTGCAACGTTTGTAGCCTTGTGGAGAAGTTCAAATTATCCAGGAAGATTTGCCATTAAGGACTCCGCGGGATGCTTTTGGAGATTTGGCTCCAAGGAATACTATTCAGCGCCACAGTCTCTCATGTGCATTGGCATCATATACTTCTTGCTCTAGACCATTTACGTCCAGGGATGAGGAGGATGATTCAGCCTCTAATTCTGAAGAAAGCTTTGAACGTGAGCTTTCATTGAGAGAGAGGAAAATCCACCAAGCAGCAATTGGTTCCAGTGAGTCTTGTAGCGATGAGGAGATTTCTGGATCAGAGGCAGATCACCAACCCGCAATGTCACATCAAAATGACTCTGATTCTTTGGGTTTTTTGCATTCTGACTATGAGAAAGAAAGTGAAAAACCTTCCCCTGATGTAGGAAAGAGTTCCACATCAGCTAAGGAATCTAGCGAGAGGAAAGAATTCAAAGGATGTCGAAGAAACTCAAGTTTTAATCACATGCATGGGGTTTCAAAAGCTTTTTTGCCATATTGGGTCTACTCAATGTACGACTCATATTGTCTTGCTCAAAAAGCAGCAGGTGATTTTAGTTGCTTTCTTTCACCCTCGGCCTTTCTTTTATTTCCTTTTATTTATTTTATCTGGTTTCTGTTTTCTATTTAGATTTACGTTTCACTTATTTCTATTAATCATTTGGTATTTTGATTCTGTACTTTTTGGTGTTATTTATCGATTATTTAGTATATATATATCCTATCTTCTGTTTGCTGTTTTCTATGTCTCAGGACAAAATATCCTTTTTCTGCAATATATCAAGATAATTTGTGGCACATGTGTTGGTTCTTTTTTATTTTATTTCTTATCATCACTATTTGCAGCTATGTGGAAGCAGATAGTGGGGGCACCAAACATGGATGGTTTTGTGAAAAATCCAGACATTTTATCATTCTATATTGCTAGTAAGATTCCAGTTTCTGAATCGACTAGGCAGGAGCTTTTGGAGATTGATGGCATTTCGTATAGATTGCGTCGGGAAATTGAGTTACTTAAGTCTATCGATCTCATCCAATGTAAAAACTGTAAGGTAGTCACAAGTCTCTGACGTATGCTTGCACTCGTCCACTCCATTTCTTTCCTCTGCCCTCAACTTGTGCTTCTGTATTGCAGCACTGTGCGTAGTCATTCCAACGCCTACTTAGCTAGCCATTGTTCTTACATGTAATTTCCTCTTATGCAGACAGTCATAGCCAAGCGCAGCGATATGTTGGTGATGTCTAGTGACGGCCCACTCGGTGCTTATGTGAACCCCCATGGTTATGTGCATGAAATAATGACTCTTTACAGAGCAAATGGCTTAGCACTTAGAGGACGAGCTGAGACAGAATACAGTTGGTTCCCTGGGTATGAGATTAACCTAGCTTTTCTTTTCTTTGAGCGTATGAGTTTCTTTTTACTCACTTTCTTAAAAAGAACTTGTTCGTGACTTGTTTATAAAAAAAGTTATTGTGCTGGTTTTGTTTCTAACACGACATTACACTTGAGCATGAAGTACAATCGAGCATAGGTTCCCACTAGAATATGTAGTGTAGGGGAATGGTTTCTAGGTTGGGTCGGAACCTTTCAACCCATTTCTGGTATAAAATGTGACCAATTAACCAATCAACAAAATTACTTTGCATCAAAACATAGAAATGTTCACTAATCTTACTAACATAGAAATGTTCACTAATCTTACTAGCATGGTACTGAAATGGTTGAATAATTGAAAAATTAGATTATTTAGGGAACACACATTGAATGCTAAGAATATTTAGAATACACATTGAATGCTATGATAACGTTTGAACATTATCAATTTTTGGTCCTTCTTAAGATTTGATATATTATGAGTTATTTTTGCAACCAGTGGCTATTCTATGAGATTCATCGGAGCGGCCATCTTCTTAGGATTTGATATCAAATAAGTTATTTTTGCAACCAGAAGTCAATTGTGAATACTTGGTTTATAAAAAAAGAAAAGTGTGAATAGTTCAAGGGTCGGATCAAGCAGCATGTCTGGTGAAAATCCGAGAAATAAAAATGAAAATCTTTTTACATTTATGGATATTTAGAATATTGTTTAATCAGAGATCTAATGACTCCATTATGTTTTTCTTTTAATCTTTCCATGAGACACTCTGGCTGACTTTCGTATTTCAGGTACGCGTGGACAATCTCAATCTGCGCCACTTGTGAAACTCAATTAGGATGGCTTTTTACTGCCACAAACAGGAATCTGAAACCCAGATCGTTTTGGGGAATTCGAAGTTCCCAGTTAGCCGATGCCACACGTTAATTCCTCAGCTTTGGTTAACTCTTTCTAAACTTCTTATAAAGTCTGTAGAGGGATGTTCATGTTTGCATTTGAATTCTTTGCTTCTTGAGATATGAGTGCTTCTGTTGCAGCGGCTTCTTAAAGCTCCACACATATATATATATAATATTCATATCCGACTTGTAATAAAAACATTTTGTTGTTTGTAACTATATTCTATTGTAGGTAGCTGGAAAATTTGCTCAGTCGAATATATTTCAATAATTAGGTATGTCAAGTCTTATAGTGTAGTTGTACATTTTTTTTATTTTTTGTGTTTTCTCGTGTCTTGAACATCATATAAGTGAAACAAGGACGGGAAGTACTCTCTTTCATGATAAATCTCATTTTGGTCTTTGAATTTTATGTTTGTTTCATTTTAAAAACTTCAAAACGTCTTATTTTAATCTCTTATTTTTGAAACTTCAAATACACTTCCCTCAATTCAATTTTTTTTTTTCTTATTCAGTTTGTCCTGATGGTGGCAAGATCAACTTTATTTTTCTTTTAATAAATTATTATATTGTTCTGATGATGGCTCTTTTTATTATTGTTGATTTTTAGTTTTTTTTTTTTTCCTTATTCGATCTTTTTATTGATGTTGGGGTCATTTAGAGTGCCCCTGCATGTCGTCCTCAATGGTTCGAACCTCCAAGGACTCGTATCTTCACACTCGAGTTTTTACTAATGTTCACTCGATTAATTAATTTAAAACATTATTAGTGAACGAAAGTAAACATCAACTAGAAGGTAAGAGTAAATTAATTTTATTTGCACAAATGATCTCGTTGAATTACAAAAGCCTACATGACTCGATCTAAACAACAAATGAATATTACATAAACAGATAAACCACTTCAGAAACAGAAATAAAAAAAAGCAAAAGTAACAAGTTCTTGAGGCATTTCCTATGCTAATGCCAGGACTACACAACAACAAATTACACAAAAAAATGATGGAAATTTTTGAAAACCAAAACTACAACTTTCGTTTAAAGGTAGCTACGGTAGCCGGGGCTGTACATGCAGCTCTCGGCGAACTTCACGAGATCCTTCGGTCGAGGAAGACGAGAAGCCAGACCTGCAACGTAATAGCATATGATACAAATGTTACTAAACTTTTCTATATGAATGATTTAATCACATTGTCAGGAAAATGGTAGAGAAGCTGACCAAGTTCATAGGCTTTAGCAGCAACTTTAGCAGCAATATTAGCTGATATCTTTCTGATATTGGTAAAAGGAGGGTAAATCAATCCCTTCTCATAGTTTTCTTCACTCACTTGGGCAGCCAGCGCCTCGGCTGCAAAGAGGAAGAAACCATTAGCATCGAACTCGAACTCGAAAAGATTAGCATAAAACAAGCATCAGTTGGCTCAGTTAACGAAACGTTCACTTACAGGCTGCCAAGAGCATGTCGTCGTGCACGCGAATGGTACCCGACATGATCAGTCCCAAGCCAAATCCAGGGAATATGTAAGCATTGTTGGCCTGAATGGCATTAGGAAGAGAGCAAATATGTAAGCACTGTTGGCCTGAATGGCATTTGGTGAGTTTAGAAGAATGAAAGGTACCTGGCCAGGCACATAAACTTTCCCATCATATTCAACAGGATCAAATGGACTTCCACTGGCGAAGATCGCCCGGCCCTGGCTCCATGTATAAGCTTCTTCCGCAGTACACTCCGATTGTGACGTTGGGTTCGAGAGAGCAAGGATGAGTGGTTTCTACAAAGCAATACTCGGGTTAACGGAATTGAGGAATGGCAGGGGGGAGAAGTTAATAGGGAATAAGGAAGAACCTCATTGAGGGATGCCATGGCCTCCACAACTTCCTTTGTAAATGTCTTTCCAACACCAGATGTTCCTATCAACACTGTTGGCTTGATTGCCTATATAATTCAAAGTTTGAAAAATATCAGATATACTTTGAAGATGGAGTAAATAACCGTAACGACCCTAGCCCACCGCTAGCAGATATCGTCCTCTCTGGGCTTTTCCTTTCGGGCTTACCCTCAAGGTTTTTAAAACGCGTCAACTGGGAAAGGTTTCCACACCCCTATAAAGGGTGTTTCGTTCTCCTCTCCAACTGATGTGGGATCTTACAATAACAAAGTATCATCTATGTCGATTACAGACCTGGACGGCACCCAAAAGATCCTTGATAGATTCATGGTCGTGAGCCCAAGGCTTCTTGAAGTGTTGAAGGGATTCGAAGCGGGATCGAACGATCAGCCCCTGTGACAACGTCATAGCTCTTTTAGAACATGAAACATTAATGTGTAATGGCACAGTTTTGAGATGAGTCAGTTCATACTACCTTTGAGTCCACAAGCCAAATCTTCTTGCGAGTCTCTTCAACTGGAGCTTGGGTCTGCCCAAAAACAAGCAAAATCATAAGGCATAATTGCATTTGATTCAGAATAGAAAGGAAAAGAGGAATAGAAGTAGGCTCATACTTGTTTTGAAACCTCCAAAGCAATAAGCTCAGCTATACCAGTTCCAGCCTGCAACAGTTTATTGACAGAAGAAATTAGAAAAGGGAGGCAAGTTGTGAGATCCCACATCGGTTGGGGAGGAGAACGAAGCATTCTTAATAAGAGTGTGAAAATCTCTCCCTAGTAGACGCGTTTTAAAAACCTTGAGGGGAAAACCCAAAGAGGATCATATCTGGTAGCGGTGGGCTTGGGCCATTACAAATGGTATCAGAGCTAAACACTGAACGATGTGTCAGAGGGTGAGGTTTGAAGGGAGGTGGACACGAGGGGATGTGCTAGCAAGGACGTAGGGCCCCGAAGGGGGTGGATTGGGGGGCCCACAACGATTGGACAAAAGGGAATGAGTGTCAGTGAGGACATAGGGCCTGAAGGGGGGTGGTGGATGGTGAGATCCCACGTTAGTTGGGGAGGAGAATGAAACATTCTTTATAGGAGTGTAGAAACCTCTCACTAGGAGACGCGTTTTAAAAACCTTGAGGGGAAGTCCGAAAGAGAAAGCCCAAAGAGGACAATATCTGGTAGTAGTAGGCTTGGGCCGTTACAAATGGTATCAGAGCCAGACACCGGACGATGTGCCAGCGAGGAGGCTGAGTCCCGAAGGGGGGTGGACACGAGGTGGTGTGCTAGCAAGAACGCGGGTCTTGAAGGGGGGTGGATTGGGGCATTCCACATTGATTGGAGAAAAGGGCACGAGTGACATCGAGGACACTGGGCCCCGAAGGGGGATGGATTGTGAGATTCCACGTCGGTTGGAGAGGAGAACGAAACATTCTTTATAAGGGTGTGGAAACCTTTCCTTAGTAAACGCGTTTTAAGAACCTTGAGGGAAAGTCCAAAGAGAACAATAACTGCTAGCGGTGAGCTTGGGCCATGACACAAGTTCAAAGTAAAAGCATGGCTATTCGATCTCTTACAAGGCAGGAAACTTAAGCAGATGATCCATCAAAGAAATATGTGCCAAAGTAAACAAACACAGCTCAAAGCAGTTCAAACTCACCTCTCCAGCTCCAAGGAACAGGAAAGTATGGTCAGCTAATGTCCCTCCAACAAGTTTAAGAGCTGAAAGAAGTCCCGCTACGACTACAGATGCCGTACCCTGAACGTCCGAGTAAGAGACACCATGTTAGAGATCTACTCTTAAAACATACGTTAATAGTTAAAAGCGATGCGTATGTTTCGTACCTGAATGTCATCGTTAAACACGAGGTGTGACGAGCTATATCTCGAAAGCAACTCGAACGCATTGTGGTTTGCAAAATCCTCAAACTGTTAAATAAGAAATGCTTAGCAACAAATGAAGAACTCCAAGCTGTCATGAAATAAGTTGAAACTTCCAAATCACCTGAATCAACACTTTCTCTCCATAGTTCTTCTTTACTGCATACATGAACTCATCCAAAAGCTCCATGTACTCCTAAATGAAGGAAAGAACACAACGATGAGCGGATTGAAACCGAGGGGACGGGAGAGCAAAAGGAGGCAAAAAACCGTTCACCTGTCCTCTGGCACGTTTATGTCGAAGGCCGATGTAAAACTCATCGTTCAAAAGCTGCTCATTGTTCGTACCGACGTCGATGGTGATGGGCAAGCACTGCACATATACACAACTATTAACTTTAGCCATTGCTTGGTTTAGTACTTGAAAGCAAAGCTGCCTAATCCTAGAATAAACACTAGTATATAAACTCGAGTATCGCTTACAGCCGAGGGTCGGATTCCTCCGAGCGCTGTATACAACGAGAGCTTCCCCACAGGAATCCCCATGCCCTGAAAGATATCATTTGAACAAATTAAGTAAAGGTTCACCAGCTGAATGAAAGTAGTAAGTTTTGTTACCTGACATCCGAGATCCCCGAGGCCGAGAATCCGCTCACCGTCGGTCACAACAATAACTTGAATGTTCCTTTCAGGCCAGTTCTTCAACACTTCAAGAATCTTTCCCCTGGAAATGGAAGTTTTTGATGATGTGTTCTGTACTAATGCAGCTAATCATACATAATAAACACTTGTTTAATGGCATACTTCTCTTTTAAACTGATGAAAAGGCCCTGAGGTCGCCTGTAAATGCTTCCATACTTCTGGCAAGCTTCGCCGACAGTCGGAGTGTAGACGACGGGAAGCAGTTCTTCGACGTTATCGATCAGAAGCTTGTAGAACAGCCTTTCGTTCCTCTCCTGCAAGATCAAATGATATGAGACATGTATAAACATGAACAGGAATTAGCTTGTTTACATGTTTTGATTGAAACTAACATGTAACCGCTCAAGCCCATTGCTACTCGATATTGTCCTCTTGGGACTTTCCCTTTTGGGCTTCTCCTCAAGGTTTTAAAACGTGTCGAAGAGGTTTCCACACCCTTATAAGGAATGATTCGTTCCCATCTTCAACTGATGTGGGATCTCACAATCCACCCCCTTAGGGGCCCAGCGTCCTCGTTGCCACACCGCCCAATGTCGGGCCCTTATACCATTTGTAACAGTCCAAGCCCACCGCTTGCAGATATTGTCCTCTTTGGGCTTTCTCTTTTGGGTTTTCCCTCAAAATTTAAAAACGTGTGTTTGAAAGAGGGGAGATGAAAGAGGAAAAAACCGTTGCCGAAGAAAATGTTTTGTGGGATCTCACAATCCCCGGCGTCCTTGCTAGCACACCACCCAGTGATTGGCTTTGATACCATTTGTCACAGCCCAAGCCCACCGCTAGCAAATATTGTCCTCTTTGGGCTTTTCCTTTCGAGATCCCCGGCGTCCTTGCTAGCACACCACCCAGTGATTGGCTCTGATACCATTTGTCACAGTCCAAGCCCACCGCCAGCAAATATTGTCCTCTTTGGGCTTTTCCTTTTGAACTTCCCTCAAGGTTTTAAAACGCGTCTATTAAGGAGAGATTTTCACACCCTTATAAGAAATGCTTCGATCTCCTCTCCAACCGATGTGGGATCTCACAATCCACCCCCTTTGAGTGCCCAGCGTCCTTGCTAGCACACCACCCTGGTGATTGGCTCTGATACCATCTGTCATAGTCCAAGCCCACCGCTAGCAAATATTGTCCTCTTTGAGCTTTCCCTTTCGAGCCTCAAGGTTTTAAAACGCGTCTGTTAGAGAGAGATTTTCACACCCTTATAAGGAATGTTTCGTTCTCTTCTCCAATCGATGTGATCACAGTCCACTTCTCAACTCCAATTTCAAGAGACAACAAAGGTTTTAAGTCATTAAAGTTCTAATTTAAAAGACAAACCCCAAAGTTCAAACATCTCAAAACCTTAAAAACTGATTTACTCCTAATGATCTCAATTCAATAGGGACAGATGAATCAAACAGAAAACTAACTATAAATGAGTGGAGAAAACATCAACCTGAAGATCCATCATGGCAATATATCTGTGTAATGGAACTTCATAGTTGCGTAGATTGTGCATCATCCTCCTTTCCTGCTCGCCAAAAGAAACCATTAAAATCATAGTAAACCAAGTTCAACCGTCCATGTAACAGTCCGAGCCCACCGCTAGCAGATATTGTCCTATTTGGGTTTTCCCATCTGGGCATCCCCTTAAGGTTTTAAAACGTGTCGGCGAGGGAGAGGTTTCCACACCCTTATAAGGAATGCTTCGTTCTCTTCCCCAACCAACGTGGGAACTCACAATCCACCCCGTTCAGGGCCTAGCGTCATTACTAACATATCGCCCGGTGTCTGTCTCTGATACTATTTGCAACAACCCGAGCCTACTGTTAGCTTTGAACTATCCCTTTTGGGCTTCCCTTCAAGATTTTAAAACGCGTTTGTTAGGGACAGGTTTCCACACCCTTATAAGGAATGTTTCGTTCCCCTCTCCAACCGACGTGAGATCTCACAGTCCAATACAGAGATCTAAACTAACCTGAAGCTCCTGATTAAGAAGTGCTGGTGGCAACAACCCACGCAAGTAATGAGCATCCCTCTCTTTCTCAGTAAATGCAAGCCCTTTGTTATAGATTGGATCACGCAACAACGAATAGCCACTAAAACAACAAAACAAAGAATGATATCAGAAACAAAAACAAAACAAAACATGTTTTAACAACAAGTTTGTTTCTTGTTTCTTAATCTTGACCTAGCAACAGAGACAGTCCAAGGAGTAATGAGCTGATCTTCAGTGGCATTATGTTCCCCATAAGCTTCCTCGTACTTATTGTCAATTTCTTCAATCTCCATATGAACACTACCATTACTCATCGTCTTCTTCATTGCACCCTCCATTAATCTCTCAACTGGTCTCTACAAAATGGCAGAAAGCTAACAGAGAAAGGCAGAACACAGCGAATGGAATCACACCCTTTTGAAAAAAGAGACAGAATTTGATGGAAATGGAAGGAACAAGATCGAGGTTTTATAGTGAACGAAATGAACAGCTACAAATGCTTATTCCTTGGTGGGTTCTTCTTGTCAACGAATTATGGCGACAATGTGAAGAGCACAAACGACCCACGTGGACTAATTCATTCAAGAATTCGACAAACCAAAATAAAAAAAAAAAAAAAAACAAAAAAATGAGCTGAGATTTTGTGTTTTACCAAATAGTGGCGATGTCGGAGGAAGGAGAGCATATCTCTGTGGGAACGCGTGACAGATATTAATTCAGATTTCAAAGCTTGCAACGTTTCCGCGTTTTCTTGTCTGAGGAACAGTCAAGAGGATTGGTTAAGGGTTAAAGTTTCAAACTTAGAAGATTGGGTTCTTTTTTCAATTCAATCCCTCATTTCCCATCTAATTTCATTTTAGTCCCCAACACCCAATTTTCTTTTCTTTTTTCACCCAAAAAAAAAAAAAAACCGTAAACGATTTAATTTATCTAAAAACACGACCGAACTTTTAAAAGTTTCAATAATGAAAACTGTGAGTATTTTATTTCAAAAATACTCTTTTTAACTTTTGGCAGTGATTATTGATGTGATGTCTCACATTTAGACGCATTTTAAAGCCTTGAGAGAAAACCCGAAAGGGAAAGTTCAAAGAGAACAATATCTGCTAGCGGTGGATCTGGGTCGTTACTAATAGTATCACAGCCAGACATCAGATGATGTGTCAGCCTTCTCGTTGTTCCCTGAAGGAGTAGACACAAGGCGGTGTGTCGATAAGGACGCTGGGCGAGGTGGATTTGGAGGCGGTACCATATTGATTGTTTCTTTCCAACTTAATTCAGACAAATATCTTAGGTATATTGTCTCAATTTAGTGTCATGTTTATTTTTTATTCCACATTCATTTTAAAATATTAATAAAATGGTTTTTTTAAATGGTTTAGAAATTTTATTCATATGATTTTGAATTTGTTATAATTTTTTTTTTTTTATGTCACTCACCTCAAAATATATTTTTAAATATTTAAAATTAATGTACGGTTTAATTTAATATTTTTAAACACTTTTTATTCTATAAATATTAGTTTAAAATAATTTAAAATACGGGAATATATCAATAAAAAAAATAAAAAAATAAAAAATCTTACGTGTCGTTGGGACAAAGGTGGGGCCCACTCAATAAGTTATTGTTACGGAACGGCAAAGAAGTGGTAGCCGGTAACTCCCCCTCCATATTTCGGGCGCTACCAACCGCTTTTGCCCGTCGCATCCAAATGTTTTTCTTTTTTCTTTTTTAATATAAGAAATTATTTTTTAAGTAAAAAAAATAAAAAAATATAATAACCTAATTTTGTCTTGTTATTTTATTTATTTTTATTTTTCGTGCCAGTTCGAAACCCATAACTTAAAAGAAAAAAATAATAATAAATCGAGATAATTTTTAATATTATTCAATTTAAACAGATCTAGTCAATTTTGATTTATTTTATTTTTTTACTTTTGATTAATTCAATTATTTTAAATGGTTGACTAATTTGATTTTAAGAAATTTTGACTTTCAAATTTTTATTTTCTCAAAATAGGTGTAAAAAAAAAAAAACTCATAATTTACTAACTTTTATATTTATATATATAATATATATTAAAATGAAAATTTGGTAGCGTATCATATAGGTTAACATAATTTATTAAATAATCATGTTATTAGTATACTTTTATTAATTTAAGTACAAAAAAAATGCGACTTTGGATATATTATTAACCCATTTGTCATTTTTAAAATATGGTCAGCATTAAATTCATTTTATTTCAATTATGTAAGGATAACTTTGCAATTAATCCATTTAGATAACATTTATATAATACGTTGATAAATATTTAGTTTATTATTTAAAAATAATACAATACACCAAAGTTTCCAAAATTAAAACTTCATTTAATAATCATTAATTATTTATAAATAAAAATGACGAAAAAAAACTAATACACTATTATTAATTAAAAAATAAATTTGATATTTAAATATTTAATGGTGATTGTAAAAAAAAACATTTACAAATTGACTTCTAGAGTTTTGTTGACCTGTCTGTTTGAAAGCTGTTGCCATACTAGATTTATGGATTTTTTTTAATTTATTTTTGTAAATTATATTATTATTCAATTGTTTTTTTAATTATAATTTAGTCAATTTTTTATTTTCAAATATTCGTATTTGTTGGCAGTCCAAAGTGGAGGGCATGCATTTTTCTTTACATAAAATATACTCATCATCGTGGAATCTACAAAACCCTAATATTTATTTATAAAAATAATTTGAAATTCATTTTTTATTATTACAAAATTGGTTTAATAATAAATAATATATTTATAAAATTTATAGAGATACAAAAATTAAAATTAAATCTTTTAAAATATATAGATGAAACTTGTTAGATGAACACGACTCTCTATTATGATATTGTTTACTTTGAGTATAAGCTCTTATAGCTTTTCTTTGGGCTTTCCCAAAACGTCTCATGCCAATGGAGAGAATATTATTTGATTATAAACTCATGATCATTCCTTAAATTAGCCGACGTGGGGCTTTCATCCAACTCCTCCCTTCGAATAAAGTACGCATCCCCTTAATCGAGAATCGACTCCTTTTTCTTTTGGAGTTCTTTGTTCGACATGTGAGTATTCATTGGTATGGTAGGGCATAATTATGATATCATGTTAGACAACTTTAATATTGTGGAGAATAGTGTTCATCTAACATGGTATCACAGTCATGTCTTAAATTTAGCTATGTCAATAGAATCCTCAAATGTCGAACAAAGGACTCTAGAACAAAAAGGAATCGAGGCTCCTCGAAGGCATAATAAAAAATGGCTAAGACTTCAAAAGAAAAAGTAGTCGAGACTCGATTAAAGAGAGGAAGGTTTATTAAATTATAATTTTAAAATTTTAGATACTAATTCTTTTTTTTTTTATCAATTAAAAAAAAAAAGAAGAGATATTTCGTAGGGTTCTGGAAGGTGGGAGGCAAAGTCGGAGGTGACGTCGTTACATATGAGGATGGTTCAATTTAGGCTGTTTTTTAATAGTTCGATTCGTCGTTTTCGCGTTTCCACGAACAAAACACAGCCATTCGCGTTCCGCCGCGCCCGTCAAGTTTTACTGTCGTTTCATTCCATTCCCTGACTTTGGTATTTTCTCACTCATTTGACTAGTCTTTGTTTCACATTCAACTCCCATTGGTCCATTTTGCCCACCAAAATTAATCATAAATACAATAAAGAAAAGTAAATAGATATATATATATATATATATATATATATATATATATTAATTGGTATATTACAATTTAGTCCATAAATTTTAAAATATTACATATTCGTTCTCGGCACAATTTTTATAATTATTTGTTAATTGTATCATTAATTGTACTAGAAGTAGGTCCACGTGGTAGCCACAACCCTGAGGCCATCTCAATGTTCCATTGATGTCATACCAAGGCTCACGCACCTTACTAAGTGGAAGAGACTTAACTGGGAGGTAAAAAAATAACATAAATAGAAGTATATAAATAAATCAAGACTACTATCTAAATGATAATCATTTTAGAATATAAAAAAGAAAAAGAAAACTTAAAATAATTTAAATACGCTACAAAAAGAATAATAATAATAATTAATTGCAGATTACAACCCACGAGGGGTTGTGGATGATCCGATTTGATTATGAAGATGGTGAATCAACGGTGGAGATCTAATGATCATTATCCAACGATTATTAGTTTGGCTGTTGATTAATGGCTTCTGTAATGGCGCCACGACTGGTAAACCACTTTTTATTATTATTATTATTATTATTATTATTATTATTATTATTTGCCAAGCGAAAAAACAGTGAAACGATGAATCCGCATGCATTCTAGTGCATTGCAGCTTCTTCTTCGTTTATTCTCCGATTTCTTTTCACAGTTGCAGTTTCCGGTTTCTTGTTTCGATTTCGCATGATTACAGGTAATATCACTAATTCATCCATACGTTTTTATCCTTTTTTTTTTTTTGTTTGTTTGTTTTTGCCTTTTGTTGTTTCGTTTATCGCATTTCTTCTTTACGTTGGCGCGAATGATGGAACCGGCTTTGTGATCCGTGTGTTTTTTGAATTTTTATTGATTTCAAGTGTTATCGATTGCATTCTTGAGTTTTGTGATCTTTGAATGTTGATTTTCATCGATTTGGTGATCGTGTCGTTGTTTGTGGAAAAAAGAGCTTCAGATCGTAATGTGTATTTTGATGTGAAAGGTGGATTTGGAGAATTTTGATGAGAGGTCACAAGAGAAGGAAGCAGCACATGCATCTATGAAGAAGACTGGGGTACGCAGGTCGCCACCGCACTACCTGATGCAATTGTCGCTTGTCGACATTGTTATGCTTCTTCTTCATGTGGTTTCCCAACGATTTTCTCAGATGGAATGGCAGATCCTGCTAGCTATGGGAATTATGAGCGTGACATTGAGCAAGTCAGTTTTTCTCACATTTCCTTAAACAATATATTCCTCCCTTTCTCTCTATTGAGCGCCATGATGTGAGGTCCTCGGACCTCGGTGCTCCGTGTTGTCATTGCTTTTCTCCTGAAATGCGTTTCTCTGTTTGTAATTTTCAAGGCACTTATCATTTTGAAAAAAGGAAGTCAACTAATCAAGTATAGCCGAAAAGGAAAGCCGAAGCTCTGCCCATTCAGAATCTCTACTGTGAGTAATAATTTCCTTGTAGCGACACAGCATATTTATTACTTAATTCCTTTCAAGTGTTGTTCTGCAATGCCATAAGCAATGGATTTGATATTATCTGGTGTTGATTAGATGTATAATGAATTGTTAAGATACTATACTTCTTGGTTCTATTATAAATGATGGAACTGCGGAAAAATGAACCCCGACAACGAATGGAGGCTAAAAAACGAAGAGAAGAATGAGAGAAGGAGAGGAGAGAGGAGTGAGCGTTTACCTTGCCAAGCTCCTTTGGATTTCCTTCTGTGGAATGAATTATCTTGATTTCAGAAGTCACCGGATATTGTTGGTATGTTCAGTACAAATTGTAAATAAGTTTCCATAAGACGTTCCACAAATCCTATCTTCACATCTCCAAAGACTTTTATTTGGTAATTTCGTCAATAGATGAAGGTATGCATTTCAGATTTTTGGGACATAGCAGGCTCAATGTATATGATAACATGTGAACGAGTTGATGAGCATAGACAAAAATAATAAAAACTAATGCTTCTACCAATCATTTAATCAGTTTGATCACCTTGTCCACAGGCATTATGATGTCATAGATTATGCATGACTTCAGAATTTTAATTTTTCTGCAACTAATTATCAGGACGAAACCACACTGATCTGGTATTCACATGGAGAAGAAAGGACCTTGAAATTATCTAGCATCTCACGAATTGTCCCAGGACAAAGAACTGTGAGTTAAAACTTTCCAAAAATGGCTGACTAGAATATGCATACCTGTGATATATGGAAGTCATATGATGCAGGAACTTCTTGAGGCATGGCTATATGTTTGTCAATATTCTACTTTTGGAATGTGTATTGTATTTAATATATGTTTTATTAGGAATTATTTTTATGCTAGAACACTATGCAGTTCTTGGCAGACGGGAAATCTTAGAATGCATTGATTTTTGTTACTATTAAATAATACTTTTGACTATATTTAGTTTTTGATTGTTTGCTCATACTATTGTATGTTTTGAAACTTAGCGTTATCAATTTGATACTAAGCAGAAAAAGAAACTGGGGTTCTTTTGCTCTGTTTTCTTCTTCTCTTGGTCTCTTATCTTTGCCCATATTACTACAATTTATGTTCTGAATTTGAAAAATTATGAATGATATTTCTTCTTCTTTTTGTCCTCCTCTTCTCTTCTTTTGATTCCTTTACAGGCTGTATTCAGAAGGTATTTGAGGCCTGAAAAGGAATACTTATCATTTTCATTGTTGTATAGAAACGGGGAACGGTCACTTGATTTGGTTAGTTGAACTCAAGGAAATATTCAAATTTCCTCTTCATATCTGTAATATCTCTGATTGTATGGTGATTTCTTTCATCTGTTACCTGTTTATAGATCTGCAAGGACAAAGGTGAAGCTGAAGTCTGGCTTGTTGGCCTTAAGAATTTAATTTCTTCAAAAATACAGCATGGACGTTCTAGGAGTGATTTTTCAGATGTGAGCTTTTACTTTGCATTCACTCCTATAACGAGCATTGTCTTGTTCTTTTTAGGTTCTTTCCTTGGCAGTTCACTTTTCTTTTTTTTTTTTTTTTTTTTTTTTTTTTTTTTTTTTTTTTTTTTTTTTTTTTTTT